CTGTATTACTGCTTGGCTTGATCTTGTGTTAATTGATAACGGGCATGGAAAATAGTCTGGGAACAATGCTGAAGTAAGATGAAAATATAGTAGGAAATATGGTGGGATGGTGTAACCTGGATATTTCAGGAAAAGGAGGGCAGGCCAATTGCTAGTCTCAGTTCCTTTTGGGTTGCAGCATGACCAAAGAAATCAAACTGACAGCAATGGTGGACCTGCAATGCCAGATCAGTTGTTGGTAAAACATTGATTATTCTGGATTTAATTCTGGATGAAAGCACTGACTTGTCACATATCACAAAGACATGGCAGACAACTCTCATCTCTCCCAGCAATGTCCATGGTATGGCAGCCACTGGTTGAAGAGCCGGAAAAGTGGAGGGAATTTACCAATGTTGAGTTCATGTTGTTGCATTTGGCAGCCCAGGATAGTTTTGGGTTACTGTTAGTGTGCTGACCAACCTGCTACCAAGGAATCTGTTCTCTTGAGCTAGCTGTAGTATTACCGTAGACTCCTTGTCTTAGGGGATTATCATTTCCACACAAATTGAGTTTGCCCAGTCTGTTTTAACGATCAACTTGTCCCTATGAATATCAGGATACTATCAGACAGCAGGCCAAGTGTTGGGTTTGGTGTTCTGTTTAGGTGAAGTTGGTGATCTGAACCTGGAGAAGCTCTGTGTAATGGGCAGATCACCACCAGTGGACAAATCTCTGGAAGGGTGAAGGACTGGTTAAAGTGGCCTGAGATAGGAGCCTATTGAATCTGGATGTCTGCGGGAATCACATGTCAATAAGAGAGGCCCTTTTAAAGAAGCCCCCACTCTCACAGCCTTGTCTTTATGAGATATATTAGAGGAGCTTCTTCTGCATTACTTCTATTCATGTGAATGCACTCCTTTGTGATTTTTGAAGCATTTATGTGTGTGGGCATGTGTGTGTATGCCAACTACCATGTCATTGATTAACTACAAATTTAAAATGGAGACACTAAAAGTTTAAACAGCAATTAAAGCAAACAGGTAAAACAACTAGAATAAATAATTAAAATTAACAGTTAAAGCCCCATACAAAGTGATGCCTTTTAAAGGGCTTTTTAAAAGCTAATAAAAGAGGCCCAACCAGTTGAAGTTTCTGCACTAGATCCCAAGGTAAACTTGTACAAAATGCATTACTGTAGTCACCCTTGGAGGTTATCAGTTCATGGACCACAGTTTTAAGGTCACTATATTTAGAAAGGTTACAGTTGGCACACCAGCTGAAGCTGATAAAAGGTGTCATTTCTTCAATCTGGGAAACCAAAGAGAGATTTGTATCCAAAAGCCTTCTTCATGGAGGATTAAATCCTATTCAGAACAGCTGATCTATCATCTCCCCTGAATTATAGTCCCTTACACTAAGCTTCTTTGCCCTGTCTGGATTCAATTTCAATTTTTCTCTCATTACACTTATTACTGTTTGCAGACAGGCATTCAAAGGAGCCACATCAGTTCCTGAAAAATAGATCTTGATGTCATCAGTTTACTGATAGCACCCAGCTCCAAATCTTCTGATCCCCTTCTGTGGTTTCATGTAGGTAATTAAAGTATTGGCGACTGAATAATGGAACCATTACAAAGTGTTGCCCTTCTTCTGAGGCAATGATATTAAAAAAAAGCTGAGTGTTCAAGAAGAACCAACAGGGCTGTGCTCCTTCTGTCAATCCCCAGACAAAAATAATCCATCAAACTAATCAAGGCAATCTCAATCCTGCAGCCCAATCTGAAGTTACTTTAAAATGGTCAAAATAATCTGCTTCCTCCAGGTTGAGAGGCACCCTTCTATCAGCCACCCTGTCTAACCATGAGAGGCTATAGACTGGCTTATAATTGCCCATCTTGAGGGATCCAGGCAGGTTTCTTAAGAAGAGCCCTAACAACTGCCTCCGTTAAACAAAGATACATTCTGCTATTTCTTAGAGTGTTATTGTAATGGGCTGTAAGAGTAACCTTGAGGAACAGGAGGAAGAGCTGTAACCAAGACAATGGTCAGACAAAAGAAATTTGAATTCGAGGCAGAAATGTAGTTTGAGAAAGCATCTCAAGCTTGACCCTCCCTAGTTTTCTCAAAGATAAAAGGGAGGGGGGCACATTCAGACTTGCAAGATTCTGTTACTGTAATTTTATAATAAAAGTAGTATTAGCATTCCTAACTTTGATTTCCTAGTCTGGACTACCTCAAAGGGTTAGGGTTAGGGTTAATGATATGATGTTAACTATGGCATCTTTAATATCCTGCTGTCTAGAAGTTATGAGCCCATTTGGAAAGAGATCCAATGGTGGATCATATTGTTCCAAGAAGCCTGTCCACATTCCAAGATATCACATATTTAAATGTATCCTCTTTAATTGTGCAAGAGGAGTTAGTAAATACACCCACAGTTGACTCTTTATCAAAGGTGGCATCAAGATTGGTACCCCAGAGATATTTTCCTCAAAAAACTCACAGAAGGTGTTATAGCAAGTCTCTGAGGTTTTATAATATAATTCTGGGAGGAGGAGACAGAAGTACAAGTCAGCCTGCTTATAACCCAAAACTATTCAGCAGGCCTTGAGCTTGTTGGTGCAATACAACCAGAGGCAAAGCTGCTGTTTTGATGCACATGTTAATATAGCATAAGCCTTCACATGCACATGATGCTGTGCCTTATCAGACTCATGTCAGGTCTTTCTGTACTGAAGAAAGCCTTCTACCTTGCTGCTTCAGTTTCTGCAGTTCTTTCATGTACTATAGGACCACCTCTGAAGTGTGCTGAAAAGCCTGTTTAGAGAAATCCTGCCAACCGTCCTAGTCCAGGTATGAAACAGACACTGACAGAATCATTGGCAGAACCAGCCCAAACACTTGCAGAAGTGAGGTATAGCCATTAATCCAACCTTATTCAGATAGTGATCTGTCCATCATAATGAACAACACCTCCCTGATCAGAACCAGATACCAAATTGAGCATGTGACCTGCATCAAGTGTTGAGCTTATGACCATTATGGATAGGCTGATAGATGTTAGGGCTGTTACAAACTCCTGAGCTGCTCCAGACAAGCTGGCCACAAAGTACATATTTAAATCATCCAACATGATAAGCTTAGGTGTCTTCAATATAATTCCAAAATCAGATCTAGCAGCTAAGTCAGGGATTCTATTAGGTAGAATCCCTAATATCTTAGTTTGCAGTCCCAAGACTAAGGTATGCATAGTATGAACCAATGCTCTCACAGATTTCCTAGTAAGGGAGATATTGTTCTTATAGATCACAGCCACGCTACTTCTCTGCTCACTTCCTTTGACTTTCTATACTACAGTGTACACAGCTGGGAGAAGTTGTGCCAAAACCAACCCACTTATACAAGCCGGTTTCTTCCTCTACAATCAAATAATGGATGATCTGTTTTATCTTGGATTGACCAGAAAGGGCACAGCCCTTATATTTCTAATCCTCTGTAATAGCCTGCAAGCCAGCCAATACCAAATCTTCTATTCCCCACCACTACTGTGATTACTGCCCCAGGATCCATAGATGCAGATCCCACTCTCTCTCCCAATATTTTAATAGGTCAGTTAACTATTTAAAAAGAAATACCCTACATCTATCCATCCGTCCATCCTTCTGTCGGTCTGTCTCTATATCTATATCTATATCTATATCTATATCTATATCTATATCTATATCTATATCTATATCTATATCTATATCTATATCTATATCTATATCAAGGGAATCTCTCAACCCAGTATCAAAGTAAGGAGAACTATTAAGAACCTGTAACTCACCACCCACCAGGCAGACAAGGCATATTCCCTGAAATGGCAATGATGCATATTTTGGATACCAGTTCTCAGAACTCCCTCTCACCAGAAGATCAAGTGGGCATAAACCTCTCTCCTAACTGCTCATTGCTGTCACAAAGGAGCAGCCTTCATCACTCCACCTACACATACACACATTCATATAAAACCAATACTGTAGGAGAAATGACCTTTGCTTCATGTCACTTCCAATGGGACAATCTTCTCTAGGTTGCTGCTGCAAAGTCAGCACCTCCTAGGGAACCTGGCCTTAAATCCAACCATACCTAAGAGACTGCCAATAGCTAGGAGGGAGAGAAGGGTCCCGGGCTAGCAAGCGAAAAGACCACTACTTCAGGGCCAAGTAAGTTGCAGTCCTAGTAGTAAAGGAGCATGGAGTGGATGTAAAATCCCATACATATTCCTCTCTAATGTTTCCGACTGCATCTCCTGAATCTTGGGATGCACAATGGTAATCCCACAGTGTCTATGGGAGATGATCAGCCTAAATCTCCATGGCATGTATGATGGACGTAGTGTTCCCTCAGCACATGACTAAGGTATTTGGGGCTGGGAGTCTCCAGTGTGTAAAACAACACTTTTGCAGACATCTCTTATGCTTGTTGTCTGTCCTTGGAAGGCCTTTAAAAAAAATTACAAGGAACCAATGGATGCTTTGAACTTGGCAATTGCAGGAATTTAATAAGAGAAATGGCAGTAGATGAAGAATATATTAACAGCATAATATAGCACCTGCCTGCAAACCTTGGAAGCTGTTGCTTAGTCCTCAGAAAAGATTTGACTGCTTTTAAGAAATGTAAAGAAGTGCTACATCATGCTCCCATATGCTCCAAAGCACATCTTTAGAATCAAAATGGGATGACAGCGCACATACAGCACCCCCACCCGAAATATAATTCTCTGTTTCAGATGAAAGTCTTGGTCCAGTCAAAGTTAAATACTTTTAAGTCCTCCTGTTTTAAATAGGAAAGATGCAAGTATATCTATAGATTTCCCATTCAAAGCAATTGGGTCAATGATTAGCTTTGCCTATCTAGATCATTCAGTTTAATTTCTCTGGGATGTTTTTGTATGGAAACCTTTTATGCATCAAAGTAATGAAAACAAGTTGCTTTATCCATTGCTTTGGTTTTAATCACAGTTTGTTTTCGGTTACCTGAATCCATCTTGATTTGTGTCAGTGAGATGGCAAGTTCCCCCATTCTGGCATGGATTCTGAATGCAAGCATTAATAGGCGTGCTGCAATCTCGACCCTATCAGTAAAAGTTAAACAGGAGACATTAGTCATTTTCTATCACTGACAGTGAAGCTCACTCTGTTTTCCTAACCTTGTCTTCACAGCACAAAGAATGTATCCTTCAGAATCATATTACCTGTTCTCATTCAGTGAAGCTATTTTTTTTTTTTCCTATTAAAACACGGCTTTGAGAAGAAAATAATACATGAGTGCTTGGAACTGGATGGTGGAAGGCATTTTATCATGCAGTTTTTGAATATGTGGTCCATGCTATGTCCTTGTAAAGTATTCAATATAAGCAATAATACATGAATATGAAAAGAGACCTGCAGCAACTTACTGGGTATTTATGCTGTTGAGTTAATCAACAACCCTTCCAAAGTATACTTGTTAAAAAAAACCCTGCAGCAGTGACTTTTATTTTTATTGTAGATTTAACTCATCAGCATTCTTTTCCAAGAACAGTATTATTTCTTTCTAAAAGAGATTCTCATAATGAGCTGCTATGCTTGTGGAACATATTATCCACAGACTGATTGTTTGCATGTAATACAGGAAGAGACTCTGCTAGTTAATGCTCATACTCAGAAGTCAAATTAAGTGTGGTATGAAACTGCTATAAATGAAGGTATTAAATAAAATAAATCCATTGTATTTCAGAATATTCAAATCCATTCAGACAAACAGCGTTGGTTACTCATGTCTTTCCATATAATATAGACAAGAACTTTATTGTCAGAAGTTCTTTCTTCAAATGACTTACTGTGTATTAAAAGACAACTTTATACAAGTCTTCTTAGAAGGCTTAGTCCTCTTTAGCTGAATTGGATTTACTCCAGGATGACTGTGTATACTATAGTATATACAATATAACACTGTAGCTTGAAGTACAAGCCTATTTATATCTTTGTTATTAGATTTACTTCCTTTATGGTAAAACCATGTTAAATTATATACGCTACTTTACAATCAATAAAAGTCCATAAACAAAGGTATTGTTCTCTATGAATTCCCCAATAAGCATTGTCATTGCTAAGAACTCTGGAAGTCAACGTCCATATATGTAAAGGCATCCTGGTTAGAGAAGTCTATTGTTTGTTTGTTTATTTGTTCATCCATCCCTGCCTTTTGTTCAGGAACACAAGGCAGCAGACACAGAATCCTCTCTCCCCATTTTCCCCCACAACAAAAACCTGTTTAGGAAGGCTGGGCTAAGAAAGCGTGACTGGTCCAAAGTCACCCAGTCAGCAAGCACTGCTGAGGGCAGAGTAGGATCGGGGCCTCCCTCGTGCCAGTCCAACACTAAAATGATGGGATTCCATGCAAAGCTCCCAAATCACGAGGGCCCTGCTCACTTCTCGCCTTGCTTACCGCAAAGCAGTAAGGCAACAGATGAGGCCGCTGTTCTGCCAGACTTTCCCTTCCTCAGCAAGGTGCTCTTTATCGACGTATGCCTATCCAACCCATCCGTCACCGGCATTATTTATGTGTTTATTGAACTTATTCAATAATATAAATTGAATAAATGTAATATAATAATAAATAAGGAATATTATTTAATAACATAACATAATATACAATGTATTATTTATTTAATATATCATCATTTTTTTCCCTTTTAACATACCTGAATATGTTTTGCTATATTAGAACAAAAACAGTACAATCTACCTGTGGATTTGTTCTTATGCATATGGAGAACTTTTTAAAAAATTCCCTCCATTCCTTCAGGGGCATCGGAGGGGTTCAAAAAAGTCAAGATGGCACCTGAAACTGAGTGACCAAAGAGCTACTCTTTTTAGGTGTGTTGGGCACACAGTGCATGTAAAAAGAAGGTGGGTCTTTGATCCTGCAGTGGCAGCGGATATCTTGACTTTTTTGACCCATCCCCCCTGAAGGCACCCCTACATTTCTTATTGGAATGAGTTACAACACGTTTAAGAGAAGTTGAAGTGTTTCTGAAATGCAGCCTTTGGGAGACAGGGAAAGTAAAACAACCACATCTAATAGTACATCAACCAAGATATTTCCCTGCAAGTTTAAGATGACTAAACTTAATAAATGATTTTTATTAAAAAAGCTCAATTCTTCCCTGCCTTGTCTAGCAAAACCATCTTCAAAGTGTTTCTAGAAGTCAGTTCTTTTGCAATGCCCTGGTTGGAGAGGTTCATGGCTAAAATTGGAAAGAAGCAGTGCTAGATTGTGTGTTATACCATGTACTAACATTAAAACAAAAGAAGGAGAAGGAGAAGGGGAAGGAGAAGGAGAAGAAGGAGAAGGAGAAGGAAGAATCTGGCTAACATCATTTAGAGAGCCAGTTCGGTGTAGTAGTTAAGGCACCCAGCTAGAAACAGGGAGACCATGAGTCTAGTCCCGCCTGAGGCATGAAGCCAGCTGGGTGACCTTGGGCCAGTCCCTCTCTCTCAGCCCTAGGAAGGAGGCAATAGCAAACCACTTCCAAAACCTTGCCAAGAAAGCTGCAGGGATTAGTCCAGGCAGTCGCCAGAAGTCAAGACTGATTCAAAAGCACAAAAACAACATCATTTACAGGTGCCTATTTGGCCAATGTTATAGCATGCTTAATTTAAAACTCTTTTTCAGTTCAACAAATTATTTTTATAACTGTTTTCAATGCATATCAATATTCTCTAAGATAGATGAAAAAAGCCACATGAATAAGGAAAATTCTTCTGATCTATAATCGAAGAGTGCTCCAGGATGTACTGATAAGGAAAGGGATTGAAAGAAGAAATGGAAAGTAAAAGAAAAAGAAAAAGAGGTAATAGTAGAGATGTTTTAGTAGCTCTATGCACACTTTGAAAATTATTTGGAAAAAAGTAATTTGGATCTCATGCAAACATAGCACTTCTCTGCTATTCATTAAAATAGTCTGATTCTTTTCAGGCTTCAAAGTCAGCCTGGGGGGAAAAAAAAAGGTGGCTAGGGGAGAGATAGCTTTAATAATCACATTAATTTTAAGAGTGGAGTTCTTAAGAACTTCTTCCAAATATTTTTGAATCAAGCACAGCTTCCATTTTGTTGGAAGATGTTGTTTAGGTGGTCTGCTTCCTTTTTCTGCTGTTCTGGGTTACTGCAGCATGTTTGTACCTGTCTGAATAATGTTCTTACCCAGCTCCTCTTGTGGGGGGTTGGGTTGTTACTTTGGTAATGGAGCACTTGGTTAGGGTGGGTTGTTTTTCTATAGACTTGCATTTCTAATTTGCTGTCATTTCCTCTGCTGATGAGGATATCCAGGAAAGGTAGTGTGTTGTTTTCTTCTTCCCTTGTGAATTATATTCCTTTGAAAATGTTGTTGATTGTTTCATGTGTCTTCTCTAATTGTTCCTTTTTTATTATGATGAAAATGTTGTCTACATACCGGACCCTTACTTTTGGTTTTATGTGTGGGAGTGCTATAGTTTCTAGATGCTGCATTATGGTCTCTGTTATGAGTCCTGAGATTGGGGTTCCCATGGATATTTGTTGGTATATTTGTTGGTATATTTGTCCATCAAACTGAAAGTAGGTAGTGAGGCAGAGATTGATGACATCCAAGATTCTGGGTATTTCAATCTTAGTGTATTTGGCTAGGCACTAGTACTATAAAACACACCCGACCTAGCCAAATACACTAAGATCAAAATATCCTTGCTTACCCTTAAAATAGGCTTTCAGTAAGGTCACTGAGAGTTTGTTCATGTAGGTTTAATGTAGATGGATGGATAAAATATTTCTTTGTCATTACTACTGTGGTGCAGGACTTCCCATGTAAATTTGCTATGTACAACTGGCACCAGTTGGTGTTACCAGTTGGAATCCCTATTTCCAGGTTTATGACTTTATCTAGCACATCCTTCTGAATTATATCATCTCTCTAGTTTCAATCATATCAGTTTCTAGTTTCCTCTCTAGTAATACATGGGTCTGAAGACCTGCTATGATTATCAAATCATATGTTCCAGAAAAAGATAAAATGTTTGAATTGCCTTGCCACTAAGTATTCAATAAAACTCACTTGGCTTTCTTGCCCAATCATATTTAATTAAAGTTCCCACAGCCTACTGATGTAGCTGTGCACTCCTCCACAGAAAGTTTACTCCATATCTACATCAAACAAGGAATAACAATGCTGAGAGGGCAGGCTTGGGATAATTTATCAAGGTAATAGATTCCAGATGAACAGCCATGTTTGATGCTGACGGGTGAGAGGAAGAAAGGCATTGTTACCAAATTAGCATGAGACTTTAGTGGGGAACAGCTTGGTATAAAAAGAATGCTTTTTTCATAATGTTTACATCTGAACTTGTCAAAAGTCATTTTTGTTCAATAATGTGTAGCAGTCGTAGAGGTGTTTTTCAGAGGTTGAGGCAAGCTTACTTGGCTTCATACAATGTCCCTTGTATTTGTTGCTCATGGGTTTGGATACTGTTTTTTTCTCCTACTTTTTCAGCCCTCACAATCTGCAAGCATTCCACTTCTCAATCATATACTGTCTTTAGGCACACATTATACAAATGCGTGAGAACTACTTGTTCTCCTGTGCAACATCTCTATACTCACTTCAGAAAAACAAGTGTTTGCAATGCAGGACTGCATCCACTATCACTGTCTGCTGTGTAGCTCGAACAAAACTCATTTCCCTTCAGTGCAATCTCCTCCTTTGTGTTGTGTTATTTAAGTAATCAACAGGCAGGTTTGGATAACATTCAGTGCTGCAGCCCAGCTGTCATTGGTTATCCTACCTTGTAGCCAAATGGGCAGGTACATCGGTAAAAATCCACTGGATCATTGTTGCAAGTCCCATTATTTTTACAGGGCCTGGATAGGCAAGGGTTACATTTGGACAAAATACTGATGTCGACAACTCCTGCAATAAAACAAGAATACATCTGAAAAAGTGTGTCGACAATTTAAAACATTTTCAAGAGGTTGCCTTGTATACAAGAATATACTTCCCACTCAGAGTCTTTGGTGTGTGGTGCTATATAAACATGTTTATATAAATACATAAAAGAAATAAGTAATTTTCTCTTGCAATTTAAAGTGCTGCTACTGTATTATGTATCAGTGACTCTGGTTAGTGCACTCCAATACAAAGGATGTATTGAAACAATGCTAACTTGCAAAAAATACTATCTGAAGATGGATTCATTTCATCATGCAATAAAAGCAAAATGAATGAAAGAACCAAATGTCAGCCCTTTGAGGTAGCCTGGGTCAAGAAACAGACCTTAATAAGAAATTCTAGAAACCCCAGTTTCCTGTTTTAGGAAAATGCTAAGAGCTAAGCTATATTTGCCACATTTTCTTCAAGGCCATCTCTGTACTATCTTTTAGAGCATTCTGTCAAAATCAAGCTGTGTCATGAGATAGTTATTTTATCTCACAATGGGGAAGTGGGAACTATGTATATCACTTTTTGCTCCTTAAATAAATAAATAAGCAAGCAAGCAAGCAAGCGATAGATGAATAAACTGAAAATCAGTCAACCAGAGAAAATAAATCCCACATATTTCAAACATGACTGTCACTGAACCTGTACGGTAAACTTTGTTCACTTTGGATATGTATATTTTTTTAATCCACAAATTTCAAAATGACAATTTTGATGTAAGTTTGATATAAATTTCAGTAAAGCTCTGAGCTGAAGATATAAGCTTGTCAACCTCTCCAACCCCCACAAATCTGCTCTTACAGATCACCTGGAACCTTAATATAATTCTCTTTGACAGGTATGTGAGTAGCTCTGTAATGATCAGTGGGGCAGAAAATGGAACACCACAAACACTGGAAAGGAAGGAGAAACCCTTAATATACAGTGAAATACTAGATTTAAAATGATTAGAGGGCAATGGAAATGCACAATTAAAAGAAAGCAGTATGTGTATATTGCAGTAATGTTTGTGGAAGCAGGGGGTTCTTAGACTGCAGAGAAATATACAGTTTCTGTTTAGCCTAGAGAATATGAGGGGAAACTAGGGCTGGAAGATGTCATGGCATGCACTCATCACCAAATTTCAGTTCTTTATCTTTACCAAATTTCAATTCTTTGTACTCAAAAGTAAAGCCATTCTCAAGCTGTGTCCAACCTGTCCATGTCCCCCCCCTCCCCCCCGGCAGTAGTAGAAAAGTTGGTTGCAATTGCTTTCTTGCAGGATTTTTTAAAATAAAAAATCCACTACTTTTCTACTACAGGCCTATCCTATAATCCTGCTATTTCCTGGTGGTCTCTTGTTCAAGTGGAAAGGACAAAGAGTTATACCTACCTTTGCATTGGAAGTGCTGAGTTGGTGTTGTTAGCAAAAGCCTATCTGTCATGTCATCTGGACTACTACACCGTGCAATGCCTGGCTCTTTGTAGCCTGCTTTTACCCACTCAGAAAGCCAGCGCAGGTTGCAGTCGCAGTGTAAAGGATTTGTACCAAGTGCCCTAAATTGGGTTAAAAGGAAAGAGAGAGAAAGACAGACATTTATCCAATTACATGATTCCTTTCTTTATGCTGGTACAATTAAAATAAAATTCCTCAATTATAAATCCAAGTTCTTGATATCAGTTGCCGGTCTCAAGAACTGCCAGCATTTATACCATGATTACATTCTTTTTCTGCCTATGGTTATGCAAGGATTTCAGTACAAATCCTCGCCTTAATGCTTGGAAAGGGTATAGAGCAGTGTTTCTCAACCTCGGCAACTTTAAGATGTGTGGACTTCAACTCCCAGAATTCCCCAGCCAGCCATGTGTGGACTTCAACTCCCAGAATTCCCCAGCCACATCTTAAAGTTGCCGAGGTTGAGAAACACTGGTATAGAGGATCAGTCATCTCCTAAAACTAAAAAGGTAACTGCAGTTGAAAGTACACAGCCACAGAAGGAGAACCAGTCCAGACATAGGGAGATAAGGTTTCTCCTAGAGTTGTTCAATCTTCATTCCTTAAGGCAGCATGGAACAAGATCTAATGTGTGGTATAGCTCCTGATCAAACAAGGTTACAGCTAATTTGAATGCAAGTAAGGTAGAATCCCCATCCACTCCTGTAACTTCAAGAACTCATCAAACTTCTCTCATAAGCTCTAGGTGACCCTGGATCAGTATCCCATTCAATTTCTGGTTGGAAGTCATTACACCTTACATAAAAAGCAAACAAATTTTCTCCCTTTGGTGAAAAGACAATTTTTTTCTGTGGTGATCTGATCATTGATTCCAAAAATGCAAGGAAGGACAATGAGAAAATCGCTACACATCAGAACACATTAATCCTTTCTCAATTTCTGCTTATTTCTCCTCTACTCCACAGTCTCTACAATCTAGCTGGTCACCCATCTCTTCATCTTAGAAAGCATTAAATTAAAATTTAATTAAAATTAAAATTAAATTAAATTAAAAAGTAATTAAATTGAATTGATTTCTTTAAAAATAATTTTTAAAGAACAGATGTTTAATATAATGAGTAGAAATAATTTTATTTACAATGCAATATTATATACTTCTACTGAGAAATAAACACTACTGAACAATGGACAGGAGAATACAGAATGAAACCAAAACATTGTATTTCTTTCACTTTTTTATTAAAGCACTTTTAATAAATAAATAAATAAATAAATAAATAAATAAATAAATACATGAATGCAATAAGACTTCTTACCAAGTGAGTCAACCTTATCTCTATGATTTTCTTCAGATCAGTGCAATTATTCCAGCAGTTGTTGAGAACCATCATGGAGTAATGGTTAGAGTATTGAACTGGAACTGCAGAAACTCAGATTTATACCCACACTCAATCACAGAATTAACTGGGTGATTTTGGCTGGGAGAAAGTGAATAACCCACCCTAACTCATTTGTTGTTGTGAGTATAAAATGAGGGGTGACCCCTTCTTGAGATGTTTAAAGGAAAGGTGGGATATAAGTGAAAGAAATAAATACTAGGTGTTATATTGGATTGACTGGCATATTCAATATGATGGTCCCTATGTTCCCCTTTGACTTTTTAGAAAAAAATCTAATAACAGGTAATGGTTGCAAATTATTAGAGAGAAGTTGAAATGTTTAATGAATGTCCATTTCAATGGCCTTTGAACACATTTTCATATCCATCTTTCAGTAAAGATTCTGTTTTAACTTAACTGTAGGTTTATGAGTTCAGAAACCCTTGAAGTTCAAGAATAAATTTTTAGGATAATGATCTAAAGGTTAAGGACAATTATCTCAGTGGTCATAAACTGCTTTTGACATTAAGTTTTTACTTAAAGCTTAGAAATTGTTCCTGTGGAGAAGAAAATATTAGTTGGATTCAGCCCCTAGAGAGAAAGTTATAAAATTATTTACAAAAAGAATGATCAAAAGATAATTTTGGATGTTAAGTTTTTCTTTACAGATAACATAAATATATTTTAGAAATGGAGTTGATACTAAAAAATGATTTATTGAGGGGAAAAAAAGCAGATGGAATACTGATGGATAAATTTCCACTAAAGTTGTTGATATAATATCGCAGACATGACTGATTAAACAACTCTGCCCTAGACAAACTCATGCTGAGAGTTCATGAGTTGAATTACTGGCAGGAGTTCATACATTAAAATTAAATAAGTAGAAGAACAAAGTTTCCTTAAAGGGACCCAATTTATATCTTATCTGTATTTTCACACAGACTAAAATTATTTGGATCTACTATATATGAGCTAATGCTCATGTACATACAATGTTCAAGCACATACACTTAAGTTATGTCTAGTTCACAGTACCTATGTCTTTGAACAGATGTTTTGAACCAATCAAAAATCCAACTGATCAAGCAATCTGTTCCCCCAATGAATGCAATAATTTACTCTTCCCACCTCCCCAAAAACAGGGCAAAGCAACAAATAGAAAGAGGGACGTCAGTTCCACCATTTTAATCTCATGATCTTCCTCCCACAGCTAGCAGCTTTATTTTGATTTACAATGTGATTGCATTATTTGTTTGCTCTTCCACTTGTTTTAAACTTTGTGGGTTTAAATGTTATTGTAAACTGCCAAGAGAATGTCAGTTATTGGGGAGCATACAAACACTGATAATAAATTATGTTTATTTTCTCAGCTTGTCCCAAAGATGATACTGGAAATAAGGAAATAAAGACTTTTTCCAGGGTATCCTGGATTTTACATAACATAAACTTTTTAAGGTATGAAAACAATCTTAAAAATACTTGAATGAGAACAGGAAATGGAAATGAGCCAGAACACAGAAAGTAATGAAGGACAACCCATGTCTTGCTTCAACACAAAAATTCTCTTTAGCTATTGCGTGCATCTTGCCATTGTTGCAAGCTTTTTAAACAGAATTGTAAGATACCATTTAAAACATGCAAATATCATTTTCACTGGTCATTGCAAAATATCTAGAGATTGTTAATAGCTACAAGTTTACAAACACTGTCTACATCCAAAAGCTATCATCAATAGTACAAAATGACTTTGAATCCTATTTTGCAAATAAATTATCTGTATTTAGTTCAATTGGTATGCATATTTCCTAACTATATTAACTGTAATGACAGAATGTTTGAAGAAAACAATCTATAAGTTGAATTCATGTTCATCTAAATTTGTGAAACTGCACTGTAGAGTTAGAGCTTTCTACTGGCCAAGAAAATTGACTGCTATAACATACTTTGATGATAGATATGCAGTTCAACTTTTGTTTGGGTAGAATATATTAGCTATATAGCTAGGAATATATATGGAAATACAATATGAAGGGTCTCTTAAAATTAATTCAGTTTAAAGGCCAGAGATTAGGAAATTTAAAGGTAGGATGAATTTGGGTTTATTAACCATAATCAGTCTCGATCTACCCTAAAACTTAATGGTAGTGTTTTTCAAATACAACCAAACATAAATAAATACATTTGAACTGAGGACAGGTTGCCTCCATCTTGTAGGGCTCCAGTTTCTGTATTATAAATACTACATACTAAATATTACATACTACTTTTTAAAGATAAGTAGGTAGCAATGAGGTAATAATATTCAACCATAAGGAAATATAATATGTATTTTGCATATCTTCTAAATAATTCTAAATACGTACATGATTTAAGCCCTTATTTGTCACTCTATTCTGTAAACAAAATATGTGATTGCTGTTTGAAGCCAAGATAATTGGCCCAGAATTTATTATTTCAGAAGAAAATATCATAGTTTTACATTTACTGTATGCAGTGATGCAGAATTAATAAAGAAGGATGAATGACTGTCAAGTGGCTTATTAATGACTGAGGTTACAGAAACCTTGTGAAAATGGGGGGAAAAAAAATCCTGAAAGACTATTTCTCTCTGTTCCTGACTTCTCCATTGGACAACTCTTTCTTTTCTGCAGAATAGCTTCTTGGAGATCATTTATAGCTGATAACTGACATTATAATGATAATTATGATAATAATTACATAATCCCCTCACATAGAACAGGGTATTTATCCAATAGGATTTCCCCACAAAATCCTATTTATAGTAGGTCGAGATGTTACTTTTGCTGATAAGAATAAAATAAGCTGTTGAAAATCAAAGAAAAAGTAAGAAAGGCAAATTGTAGCCACAAAGGCTAGGTCTCTTCCCTGTTCTGTCCTGTCCTGTTACTTGTGTCCCTCATCTCATTTTTATCCAGTGCTGTTTCCCTTTCTTCTACCTTCCCACTGCTTCCTCTTACTATGTCTCCATCCTGGTTTTTTTCTTTTTTCTTTTTGCAGCTACTGCAAAAAGCAGGGATAAGAGTAAATGTGTGTGGCACTTTTGTGTTCCATAAGTGGTAGTTTTTTGTGTATGAGAGAGAATGGTGGATATGCAGATTGGGATAAATTAATTTTGTAAACAGGATGTCTTTTTTCACAGGCTATTACTTTTATTCATTAGTTACCAATTCAGCTGGTAGAGAGATATAGATACATAACTTAAATTCAGGATTGCCTTTATTTAAATGAATATGGTAAATTATGTTTATTTTAGTAGAATTTAAACCTGACTGGAAATAGTTTCAACTTTAACAATAGTGTTACCATGACTTTTGATAAAACATTATCATGTTGTTCATTAATATTGTGAGTACTTCACAATTCACAGTGTTATTATCAATATCAATATTTTTTCAAAGTGAAACTGAACAGTTTTATTGAAAGATAGATGCTAATTGAGCAATGAACACAAGTTTAAAAAAGGTTGAAGTGTTTATAAATTTAAACATACATTTTAATTCCTTTGTTCACTACAGGGTTAAAAGTGATGTATATAGAATATACTAACAGCAATTCCTTGCTGGGCTTACAACAGTATTTGGAAAACTGCTACAGAATGCCATTCTTCCCAAAATACCCTGATCCGGCAAATGGGAAATAGAGGAATCTAAATGGGGTGTGAAGGAACTATAACATAACATGGTTCATAAAGCATAATCGTGGTGGTATCTTTCCAGCAATTGTATGTCCCCATGTGGCTTTTAACTTGTCCTTTTTTTTTTTTTTATAGCAATGTCAGTTCCATTCCCCTTCCTGGAAGGAGATAAGAAGTGGAGATCGATCCTATTTAATAAGTGAAAAATAATTTGGAAACTTATGAACCAATAGTACTACTACTGGGCAAGTTAAGAACCAATAGCCATGAAACTGGTCAATAATTTATCCAAACAGATATTTTTAACCATATAGGTCAAAATACGTTTCTCATATTTTGCTGAAAATTTGCATTTGAGTCTAACTTTGATGTAAGGACGCTTAACAAATGTAAAATATTAGTTGAACTACTTTTTCTCCAATGATTAAGGTTTCCAAAGTTATGGTTTTCTTCACATTTGCTTGGAAAATACAGTTTGTCTAAATATAATACATATAAGTGCAATTGTGGCATAAGTTAGATACACAAATCCTTCAGAGCAAATTATTGGTACAGCTTAATAATCTCTTGAGGATAACAATACTTACAGATGGGAAAGTGACACAAGATCATTAAAAGACCCTTCAGGGACACTGGATATATCGTTGCCATGAAGAGTCCTAGAAGAGGAGAAAATAACATTATATTTGACTAAAGTTAAGATACAGAAAGAGTTTAAGCTAGCTTTCAATACCTACTGGTTAAATGACTTAGGAAGCAACATATTTCATGTCCTCCATTATTTTGCCTAAGAAAGATTTTATAAGCAAGCACTGCATAAAATTAGAGTTAAAGGAAGGGGTACTATCAGAGACTATTTGATACCTTTCTTTAATAAAGAGGTTTTTTTGGGGGGGGTGCCTTTCAGTCAAGGGTTAACTCCTGGCAACTGCTTGGACTATCCCCTGCAGTTTTCTTGGTAAGGTTTTGGAAGGGGTTTGGCCTTGCCTCCTTCCTAGGGCTGAGAGAGGGACTGGCCCAAGGTCACCCAGCTGGCTTCATGCCTAAGGCAGGACTAGAACTCATGGTCTCCCAGTTTCTAGCCTGGTGCCTTAACTACTACCCCATACTGGCTCTCTTAATAAAGAGTACCAGTGACTTTTTCAAAGAAAAAAAAATGACAATACTGGAACCTGAATAAACAATTTAGAATAGAATAGAATAAAACAGAAAAAATAGAATAAACAATTCCCACCGGTCAGGGAATTTCGATTGGTGGGGTCTAGGCAGAGAGCCTTTTCTGCTGCAGCG